TTAATCTTATCTTGTCTTTTGATTCGTTCACAGTTACAAGAAATCGCCACATAGTCTTGCAAGTCTCTGTAGATATAACAAACACAGAAATAAATAACACAAAATAAATTGTAGCTATGTGTCGATTCCACGCAACACGTTCAAACATGTAAGCTGAACAATAGTATGGGGGAGTGAGTAATCAAGAGTTGTGTGGCGCTCAAACAAAAGACGAATCTTTGAGATTTTAAAATCACGTAACTCCGGGTTTGCGTAAGTCGAGGTATTACTGTATTTAAAAATTAAACTCTTCTAAAGAGGTGATTTAATATAGTAAAACCTGTTTAAAATGGAATGCAATTATGCTGGTCAGAATTTTCTGGACTGTTACATTTATTGACATAGAAAAAGAAAAGTTGAAAAATAATTAAATTCAATGGTTAAATTCATGGTTAAATGGCACTACTTCATTCCCTGTAAATGTTATATCTTCAAAGCATCAAACATATAAATGGTGCACTGAGGCAAAAATGTGCATAAAATACATTTTAATTATGATTTTGAATTTAGTTACTGTTACTCAAAAACTTTTTCAATTGGTACCTAAAAAGTCTGTTTCTGTTTAGTCAAGTTTCTAGTTTATAATAGTATTTTACATAGAAAATCATGGTTTTGAGATGTTATTCTGTTAGGCAGGTTTCCATTTTGTAGAAGATCCATTTTAGACAGATTTTACTCTCATTTTATAGGTTTAGGTTAGTGCTGTAAATGCTGGTATATAAGTCAATCTCAAGATTTTCACCAAAAAATCTAATTTGAATTTATATCCATTATGTAAGTTGACCTGTTTAAATACTTTATATAGTAATACTAACAGGCCAGAACTGAGGTTTGGATACCGGTATACAATAGTTTATGGAAATAGCACATAATAAATTAAATTACTTTTATTGGAACATAATAATATAGCTAATATTTTATATATATCTAAAATAAAAATTGTTGAGATTAATGTAAATTGACAGCAATTAGAAACCTGATTGACATGCAGCATATAAGCAGATTACAACCAGTAATTGGACCATAGATTTTATATAGTGAAATTTGACCTTGAACATCTCAACTCATAGATTGATTTTAAAAGTTCCAGCTTTATCGTGACATTGGCCTTGATGAGTTGTACATATTTGCAAAAATCATGTTTTGTGGTTGTGCATTTGCTTTAAACTTTGGTCAAGGACAAAACACTTTCTGATTTATGTAGAGCTTCATTCAAAAATACTTAGCTTAAAATTGTCATGACACACTTTTCCATCACAAAAGAAAGAAAAAAACAGTAATAGAAACAGTTATATGGGGAATCAACAAAATATTTTAACAAGTGGACAAAGTCCTATAGTTACATTATAATTTTATAATTTGTTTCAGATGATAATTTGAAACATTAGAACTTATTTTAGAATAAAATTAAGATAGTTTATGAATATCTTAAAATTGGAGTGATGACATCATATCAGAAAAGGGATGTGTTGAGACATTACATCCCCACTCTCCACCCACAACATATGATCCTTTGCTATTGATCACTTTTCTCAGCTTGGTATTTTTGGTCATTATGATATACAGGTGATCACCCACTTCAAACAGGTTAGGTTCTCGAGGTTTTTTCGTAAGTTGAAAACTAACACAGAAAGTATCAATAGTACATTCATATACAGAATAATCACTTATTGTTAGTGTTTGATCTTTTAGTTAATAGAATACATTATGCCCATTTACTCACTAGCTACTGCTTAGTAGCAGATGTTTCAAGCATGGTTTTTTTTCATCTAATGCACTTAGTTTTGTAAAGTCAGTTTAGTTTCCATGGTAATAGAGTGACTTGAGAAGTATCACTATTACTGTCATACTCCACTCTTAGATTTACTATTACATTTTGGATGCATTTTTGAAGTACTAATTGTAAAGTTTATAAAATTGCAAACAATAGCAAAAAAATGCTGTTACTTCGATGCCACCTCACCAGCGGCAATGGAACATCANTAAAAATTATTTATTTAATTATTAATTTAATTAAGAGATGGCGCCTAACGCCTACCTCTAATTGTCAAATTACTTAGTTCCAATCATTTAAAATAGCCATATTATAGCCCGATAATTAGGCGATCGTTTGGTGTTGTTATTATCTACTCGGGCTGTGAGTTGATGTTTATATATTATGGTTCTTTTAGTTTGCTGTATGGTGTTATTTCCTTGTGTATGTTTGATGTTTGCTTCCTGTCCTGCCCATTGTGTACTTGGCATAATTATAGATCAGGATTGGGCTTGTATAAAAAGAGTATGTATTAATGTCCATATTCTATGCTATGTTATCTTATGTAATTTCTTTAGATTTTAATATTGATGAAGTTGGGCTTTGGCCCTGTTTTCAGAACCCTCTTTCTATTCTTGGCACAGTGGACACTTTGGATTGGGTGAACTGGAACCCACTGGCTAGGTTGCTTGCTTGTTGATTCTTTGTAATTGTATGTTGCACTTTGTGATTTGTAAAATAGAAAACTAAAATTTCTGTATACCTGTAGGTTAAATATGTATAATAAAGTTAGACTTTGTATGTATGAGGGCTGTTTGGAAAGTTCACGGCCTTGCCTATATGCGGCACTGCGATCAATTTAATTTTTGGCGGGAATAATTCAGCCATCTTTGCTAAAGATACGATACCAATTTCCACTTGATTTGTCATAAAGTTTTGCCACGAAAGCTTAGCAGATAGTCAGTGTGCACATGCTTTGTCAAAAATGGAGAAGACAGTCATAAAATACCTGACGAAAAAAGGGTTGACCCATCTCAAATCAAAGCTGACATGGATGAAGTTTTGGGAGAGTCTGCTCCTTCGTACACCACTGTGAAAAAATGGACAGCTTTTTTTAAATCTGGCAGAGAGAGAGTGGAAGATGACCCTTGCAGCGGACGGCCATCAACTGCTGTCACTGAAGAAAATATTGACAAAGTTCATGATTTGGTGTTAGCAGATCGCCATTTGAAAACGTGTTAGATAGCTGAGACAACAGGCATCTCTGTCGACCGAGTGCACCACATCCTAATTGAAAATTTGGGTATGACGAAGGTCTCAGCAAGGTGGGTGCCACGTCTGCTGACCACCAAGCAAAAAAGTTGTTTGCACTTTGATGTCAAAGGAGTGTTTGGACTTCTACCAGAAAAACCCACAGGATTTCTTGCGTTGGTTTGTGACTACTGACGAAACGTGGATCCATTACTACACTCCTGAAACAAAAGAACAGTCAAAGCAATGGAAACACCATAGTTTGCCACCACCTAAAAAGGCAAAGACAGTTCCATCAGCGGGGAAAGTGATGGCCTCGGTTTTTTGGGATGCTAAAGGCATCATCTTTATTGACTACCTAGAAAGAGGAAAGACCATCAATGCTGTCTATTACTGTGAACTTTTGGGAAAACTGAAGAAAGAAATTGAAGAAAAGTGGCCACACTTGATGAAGAGAAAGGTTCTGTTCCATCACAATAATGTACCTGCACATTCCGCCAGAATCACTGAACAAAAGATAAATGAATTTCGCTTCCAATTAGTTCCATATTCACCGTACTCACCTGATTTGGCCCCCAGTGACTTCTACCTTTTTCCAAACCTAAAAAAATCTTGGCTGTAAAGAAGATATAGTCTCCTTTGTTAGCAATGCACTTATTCCAGCAATGTTCTAGCTTTTTTATGCCATCACAATAGGTCGATTTGTCAAGATGTGATTTGTCAATCAACCTATTGTGATGGCATAAAAAAGCTAGAACATCGCTGGAATAAGCGCATTGCTAACAAAAGAGACTATATTGAAAAATAAAAAAGTTTTAACATTATTTTGTTTGTTGTTCTATTTGAGGCCGTGAACGTTCTGAACAGCCCTCGTATAATTATGTGACTCATTTTGAAGGAGGTCATCCCTGGCTTTCTGCTCCTTTTCCTCCATCCTAGCTCTGTGGTCATTTTGGTCTAGATAAGTCAGGTCTATCAGGCTAGGAATGCACTGCATGAGATAAAATAATAGTTACCACATGAAATTTTAAGGGGAAAAAGGTTTTGGTACTATACATCTGTAAGCAATCTTAATATGTAATTGGTTCAAACAGTTATTTTCTAGGAATTATCACATCCATGGACTCCAAAAATACTAGCCAATCAACAACTTTATTTCACCCAGATGCATTTTGGAAATTACAATATTTCCCTCCTCAGTGGGCTTTCTTTCATACAAGCTAAACAAGGCACAATTACTTTTTGATACTCTAGTAAATATACAACTACAACATTTAATTAACAATTTACAATTATACATTTACTGAAACTTTAAAATATTTACTTCTCACAGTTTTTCAACTTTTCCCCGTTTTGACTACTTTCATATTAAAAACAAAATAAAATAAAAAAATAAATTTAAAGAATTAATAAAAAAATAACTTTTTATATTTTCAATTATTGCAATACCTGTGTTATTTTCATTAATATGTGATTGGTTAAATGAAGCATGGTCAAGATTTAAAAAAAAAAAAACAGAGTATAAACATAAGAGATAAATCTGTAAGCAAATTGCACTTGCACTTATGTCTGAGTATGTGTTTTGTATTTAATGCATGTGTACTGATTGTGTCTTGTAACCAAATGCCCAAGCTGGAACTAAGATGAATCATCATAAAGCAGACATCATAAATACTTTTCCAGCAACTGTTTTATAAAAATAAATACTTTTAGTTGCTTATTATCCACATTTACTATTTGAAATATGTTACACATTAAGCTAAAGGCTATTTTGTTCATAATTTGTAATATACATAAAAAATGCTCCAAAAAACCTTTAACATGCAGCTTATTTAAATAAAACAAAAATTATAGCCAAATATTGGATCTTATATTCTTTGACAAAGTATATTTTGTTATTGTGATATTGTTCTAAAAATTGATGTTTTAATTAAACATTATTAATTTTCTGTTTCAGAACTAAGTGCCCTTGAGGATCTCAATACGAATCGCATCACTCGTATACTAACTACCGATTTTCCCCAGTACTTTGCCATAATCACCCGAATTCGTCAAGAAGTTCACGCCATTGGTCCAGAGGGCGGAATGGTGACGTCCACGGTTGTTCCTCAGGTGCAGGCCATCTTCCCCGAGGGCGCCCTGACCAAGAAGATCAAAGTTGGACTTCAGGTAAACAGTCCATCTAGTTTCACAACAGAGATTAAAAAAGATCATAATGACGACGAAAATGATAACTGTCCAGACTCAGACAAAATTGAAGAAATTCCTCCAACTGAGGAACAAACGTCTCCCTCACTCAATACATATCAGAAACCAAAACGCAGTGCTCAGACGCACCGTTTCCGAGAAAACGGGAACAAACAATTAAATCACAATAATCAACCTGGTAAAAGGAAAATAAAGAAACAAAAATTTGGATTTTTTTCAAATCTTATCAGAAGAACTTGGCCAAAATTGGAAGTTTTCTCTTACATGTAAATCATTCATAAACAATATTCTATTATTACATGGTATATTATAAATTTTATTTATTTATTTTTTAAATTATCATATTTAAAAACTGAGATAGAAAAAAGAATTCTACATGTGGAAGGTATTAACTGGTTTAATTTTTGTTGTTTGTCCGAGAATAATGTGTCTTACACTCTCACCGTTCATTCAATCATTTGATAACGTGTTGACGGCAGACAATACAACTTCATTTAATGCAATCAAATCTATACATTAATTGTTAGGCATATTAATAAAATTTATATAATTCTTAAACACGTTTTATATTTAAAATAAATAAATTTTTAACAAAATATTTATATGAATTAATATTAACCTATTTCTAAAGTACAAAAAAAATTGTGCCAAATTTTTATATATATTATGTGAAATAATTTTTTTGCACAAATTGTGACTAAATCTTTTCATCTCATTTTATACAAAAAAATTAAATTTTTTAAGTATTTTTGTTTTTATTTATTAATATTTCATTCATTCACTTTAGTGGATGGTGTAAAAGTGTTAGTTATTTCTTAGCTGTTAAAATTTGTTATATTTCTTATCCCAATCAGACTTTACGAATTTATATTTGATAACAATCAGTAATTCACACACACATTTTTTTGTCTCTGATAAGGATAGTTAAATTTTTGCATATATAATAGAAATTATTAAGTATTTGTATTAATTTTATATTGATTTATTTCCTTCAAAACTTATGCCAATATTTTTCAAGATTGTTTTTATTCAGTGCAGTTCAATTCTTGCATTCCATTGTTTTTTAAATGGGAATCTATTTCAAAAATATAGTTTCTTGATTTCACAGAATTAATGACGTTACACTGTTCTTGACAAAAAGCACAAATGTTGGAATCACACCCAACCGTATCTTTTCTGGCAACCTGTCACACGGTTTTCATTTTGATTTATTAACTGACAAGGGTGGTTTTTCTAAAATATTGCTTTAATAAAGATAGGTATTGTTATTAGAGGAAAATAAAATGTTCTAAACTAATTAATTTTACAGTAAATTCTGCAGTAAGTATAAATTGTAAGGTTTTTGCACAAAATTTTGTTTGATGCAAAAATTTTCAAAGTTTGATACAATTTTTGCAAACCCAACGATGGTCTTTAAAAAGACCAAAAATGTTTAGACCTTTTTAAGCAGCAAAATAACTATTTTGCTGCTTAAAAAGGTCAAGCATCTCAATTGCTTTCTAGACAGTTACCTTTTATTGTATGTTATTTTAAGACTGATGCCAAACTAGCCTTTCTTATTCAGTGCCAAACCAAAGGCTTCTATTTATTTATTTTATGTATTTTTGGTATTTATGTTATTTTAGGCAGTTTTACACTCCAATTTTTAATGCAATGACTACATCTGATTTTAATATTTAAAATGTTAAATTAGACAAAACTTAAATACATAATTACTCTATATTGTTTAATTTTATCAATATACAGGTTCTCAATTTTTTATTAATATCACCAATATTTACCTATTATTTCCTAAGCAAAGCCATGACGTGTATTCAACTCCATTTAAATTAAATCTGTTAAGTGATATTTCCTTTGTGTAGTTTTCAGAAGTTTAAACTTTATTAGGATTAAACATTTTGAGACTTTGGTGTCTCATCTTCATAAAATGTGTCATTTGATTGAAGAATGATTTCAAAATACAAATGTTTTATCTAAACTTGCTGATTGTCATACAGAAATTATATAAGTGTCATTCCATTCTCAATCATTCCATATGCTCTGATTTGTTTCAAACTCTAACTGTTATTCTTGATAATTTTGAATGTAAGTTACAACTCTTTATTATCTACCTAGACATTAAATGAGCCTTTGACTTCGTGTTACCATCTTGGTAGCTGGATATTTTATTAAAGCTTTTTAATAGTCATCCTTTGATTATAAATGTCTCAATAATTACTTTCTGTTATGACATTTAATATTATACTTTTTTATACTTTTTCCCTAGATTTTTCCTTTGCATACATCAAGAAAATGGAAGAATCTTTTGGGTCCCTGTCCTGAACAGTCTTTTGTTTATATATTATATTGATTTAATTTGAATTCAAATATTATAATACGTAAATAAATATAAATATTAAAATACTGTTTGAAGGTAATCTAATGTAAATAAAACTTAATTACAAAACAAAGGAATAAAATTAACTCTAACAATGTTTACATATATTAATAATAAAACATATGGCTATCCAAAGAAGCAAATTTATAAATGGTATTGTTTCTCAACTATTAATCTTAACAACCAATTTTATTTTTAAGTTTTATGCAAATCAATCCAAGCAGAATTTGTCAGACTTCTATGTTGTTCTGATTCTTTGTCAGACAAAGGAAAAATATAATGTTACAACGAAGTCGTTGAAACTTCTGAATTCTCTGACTTGGTTCTATATATTTCGATCTGAAGATGGAACACTGAAGTCTCAAAAAACATGTAATCCTAATAAAGTTTGCTCATACAAAATTTTTTAAGCAATATTTTCTTTTTTTTTATATTGTTGACTAAATATTTTAAATATTGAATTACTTTTTATTACAATTGTACATTTGGGACTATAAATTTTGTATGGCATTATTTTCATTTATATATACATTATCAGAAGTCTAATGATTCTACTAAATCCATGACATAACTGAAAATAAATATGAAATTTTCAATACCCTTCATCTTGGCAAACTGTATTTTCTGACATCAATATTAAGTACACATAAACAAGAATGTTTGAAACTTTTAAAAATGAAATTTTTATGTCAGATGGTTCAAGATCATAGTTTCGTTGTTGCTGTCAATTACAAATATCCGGTCGGCATTATGCAAAAATACCTACACATTGTCGTCAATTTTCCAATCCCTCAGTTCCATTACATAAAAGATGATGACAATTTTTAATTACAATCTTTGTAATTAACTGCATTTCAAATTCTTCTGGATTGCTATATTTCTCTAACATCATATTCTGTTTCTGTTACCAATATTCCAAAATCACTATTTGCAACAATCTTTTTAATTTTCTCAGCATTGGACATTCAGTCCTGTAGTGTATCGTTTTTTCTACACATTGTTTTGAAAGCATATTGAGTCATTTAATATTTGTTTAAAAATTATCATCATCTAAAATCTGACATCTTTTTGTATATTATTCAATTATAATTGAATATTTCTTGACCAAAATAGGCAGCTTTATTCATGCTATTTTGCAAGTACAGTGTATCTGGATCTTCTCTTTTTGTGAAGTATTTTTAATCTTGTCTTCACTGTTTTTTGATTTTAAAAAAAGACTATTGATGTTTGATTTGTATATCTTTTATTAGTATTTGTATATGAAACAAATTGATTTTGGCTTTCTAATAAAGATTGGATGCAAGTGATTACATTTTGTATTTATATATAAAATTGAAATCTTATTTGTAATTAACTTTGGTCAATTAGACCTAAATTGTCATCTTATTTCTAAGCCACTTTATTAATAAAACTGATCTTTCTCAGTAAACTTAACATAATGGAGTTTATGTTAATTAAGAAGAAATAACTAATATAATTTTAAGAGCCAGAAGTTTTATTTTGAGAAACATTTTTGATGTGTAAATATCTTTGGATTGCTACAATTTCTTATCGAGTAAAAGTGGAACAAACTGTATTCTTTAAAATTTTAAAGAGGAGATGGTTTTGTCATTGGCCTGGCAAGAGTGATTCACAACTCACTCTAGCTGCTCATTGTCTCTGGGCAAGTCGACTCATTGCACATGCATGACATGGTTTTTTGTAAATTTTTTGAACTTATAATCAAACTCTTATTTAAACATTATTCCATTATCAAATAACCATCTAGGAACAGTTAAAAACCTGATGCAGAGCCCAGAAGAGTTTTCATTGTTCTATTATCACACCGTAATTGGTTCAGAGTGCATCATTATAATTTTGGTGTGGTGAGTGGTTATTTTACATTTACATGTAGTGTCATTTGTTGCTTACTTTTTCTCTCATCAAGCAAGTGTCAGTAGCAGGAGATTGCATCCAAAATGCCTTGTCTTGCTTTTAAACTCCTTTCAAAATCTAGACCACTTGCACATAAATTTATAACACATTAAATAAATAATAAAACAATGGGATCGGTGTAGACAAATATTAAAATTAATAAATTCTAAAAATTTTTTCGTTTAAAAAAACTTCTAAGAACCACAAGTGACGTTCACTCTTTAATTCCGACTTCGATAGAGTTTAAAAAAACAGAGAAAACCAGAGAATTATTTTCACTATTTCTTACTTTATTATGTTATCCATATATATTTCGCTATTTTAGCCTCTTCAGTGGATATTACACTGTCAAGTTGCCAGTACTATTATAGTTCATCAAGCTATCCCAGCATGCATCGACATATGCTCCGGTATTTAANAAAGCAAGGATGAGGGAAAATGGCTAATTGGGATGGGTAATCAAAGGCAAAAAGTTATAAAAACCCCAGTCTTGAAGAACATGTGGGACATCATCATCAATTGTTATTGTCGTCATCATTGATCATTATCACCTTTGTCATCATCAGCAGCTCAGTTCAGCTCAGGACAGACAGTAACACCATACAGCCTGGCACATATAGAGCCAAGATAGTGTCAACACACTACAACAGTTTATCTTAACTATACCTAC